TCCCTTTATCCACAGCATAACATCTTTGGCTTATTGAGTTGAGAAATGTGTAATAATCAGTGTCTTTTAAACAAAGAGTAGCTTGAGGTAAAGTAACTTCCATTTATCACTGTGCACACAGATGACCATGCAACATATTGAAAATTGAATTTTTTTAAGAGCAAGGTGCTTGCTGCATGGCCTAAAAATAAATTGCTTGTTTGAAAAAGCTGAGGTGATAGAGACTCCAGACAGCCTAGGATAAGGCCACTTGCAGATTCAGTTACAAAAGTGCATGTTGAAAAAATTTATAGATGCAGCAATACTTTTTAGTTAAATGTAATGCTTTAAAGGGAACCGAAGACAAGTGGCAGACTTGAGATTAGTCCAAATTAGCTAAGCTGTCAACTTCTTCATGAAGACAGCTGTGTTTTTCATTTTAAGCTTTCCATAGCTGTGAAAAACGAGAAGTCTAACTAATTTAAAGTAACACCTTATATCTGTATTTTTTGAAACTACTTAATGTCCAGCCACAATTCTTGTCTGCATTCAGAGGACTGGAGTTTAAAGTGATGTTACAAATGCACTACACAGTCCTTTTGGCCCCTGAGCAGTTTTTTTGTAAGAATCACATAATCATTGAAGTCATGAGGGATCCTCTTAGCTGTCCTGTTCTGGACTTGCAAGAGTAGGTTCTTCTCTCTTGTATGGGGGAGACCAGAGCAGGACCCAGTGCCAGGGTGTAGTGTAAGCAGGCTGAGAAGGATCGCCTTCCTCAACTTGTCACCAAAGCGTTTCCTAATGCAGCTGAGGGTGCTGGCACCCTTGCAAAGCTGCTTTCTGACTAGTCAGCCTCCAACTCTACAGCTCTACAGCGGGGTTATTCCTCCCCAGATGCAGGATTTTGCATGCCCTTTGTTGAACTTGCTGGTAGCCTGTTTTTCCAGGCTGTCAAGTTCCCTCTGAATGACAGCACAACTCTCTGGTGTTACAGGTAAACAGGGTAATTATACACACAGGGCTGTAGGATTTCTGTCCTTGTCACAACTGTATCTTGATTGGGAAACCAAGAATCCATACTAATGAAAAAGAAAAGTGATACTTATTTGGAATGTTAACTAATATTTCTAGTATGTAATTTGCCAAACCACTGACTCAGATCTAGGGACTATATACATAATTGGCCATATAGTTCACTATTTGGTAGCAGTAGGCTTATTGCCACTAGACAATTTATAATAATGAAATACTTTATATGTTTTTTCTTAACTAGTTGGGTATGTTCAGCAATTTAAAGATATATTAAACATTGTTTAAAAGCATATATATGGCATGTTTCTTTTGGATTTATGCTTGGAATGCTATTTTGCCTCTAAAATGGCAGGATTTCCCACTAGTAGCAGTCATTAAAAAGTAACTTCTCTGTGCACATTAGTGGTAGCAGCCATTTTCTATTTCGTGTTGTCTTTTTCAGAAAATAAACTGATCCCCTACAATGAAATAGCTGCCAATTATAGAGTTCCTGCTTGCAGAATCAATTTAGAAAGAAGACTATAATAAACATGATTGTATCTACTTCTAGGACTATAAAACCTACCTGGACTTTGTGCTTGCATTAGAAAACAGAAAGGAGCCTGCAGCTCTGCAATATATTTTCAAACTGCTTGACATAGAGAACAAAGGACACCTGAATGTCTTTTCCCTTAATTATTTCTTTAGGGTAAGTCTCTTTATACAAGTAGGCCATTTTCTGTGTTTATAGTGTTATAGCCTATGTGTGTCTGCATGCAGATCTGCAGGAAATCACTTCAAATTACCTACAGCCACAGGCAGGCTTGTAATAACTTCTAAGAAGATTTATTTTTTTTTTTAAAAATAGACAAAAATTGGAAAGATTTCAAAAGGTGTTTTCAGTAGCTTATCTGCAGTTGAAATTGACTGTTTTGATTTTGAGTAGGAAAAATATTTTCTATTGATTTGAGATTTTTTTAATTGAAAATTGTCCTAAAATTGGATGACCTATTAAAATCTTTTATGATGGTTCTAACTGATTATTGTCCATGTTTTTAATTTCAACTGTAACCCTGAAATTCACTAAAAGAAATAAAAATAATGAAATTTATTGATAGGCCTATATAGCTGTGGGATTTTTCATTCAGTGCTTTGCTTGCAAGAAGCTTCTTGCATTTTTCATATGCATTTGTACCTGTTGCTTCCAAAGTAGATTTAAACTAAGCTTAATTTTTTTAGTTGCTGTTAAAATTAACTTAAGATTGTAAAATCTTCCTCCAAACTGTGGTTTGTGTGGAATGGGGTTTTTGTTGGTTTGTTGTTGTTTTTTTTTCCTTCTGTCTAGTAGTGATTTTGATTTGGAGAGAGAGCATGTTTTGTTGTTTCATCTTGTTTTTCTCATAGCTACCTGAGATATCATGGGAAGAGAAGTGCTATGCAGTAAAATAGTATTTTTGGTGTGGATAGTTCCAGCTGAGTTACAAGCTTGATGGTTTATTCATGTACAGGATTCCCTCAGTAGTATCTATTCAGACACGGGCTCAAGCTCTCCAAATTTCTTTATATGAATCTTTGTATTAGAACTGTGAAAATAAATAATGTCAGTGTACTTAGCTGTATGCTTGAAGGATGAGGAGCAAGGTACATACCATTGAGTCAGTAAAACATTCAGGCCTGCTCAAGGCATGATCTTATATCCACCTTACTTCTGTATTGTAACAAGTCTCCTTTTGGACATGGAACATTATAAGTTTTCCTTGAAATCAGAATAGTTGTTCTTGACTCTGAATGATTGCTTTTCTGCTGACATTAAGTGTGAATAGATCTGCACCTACAGAGGCTGTGCTGGCAAAGCTGTGCTGACAGGGCTGTGCAGCTTGTGCTAGTGAAACAGTTCTGTTCATAGGTGTTAGGTTTGGTGATGCAGATATTTAAATAGTACCACATTAAAATAATTGATTTGTCTTTCTGCTGATGGGTCATTTTCCTTCTCTTTCCCTAGCCTATATTTCATACTGTGTCAGAAATGTAACCTTATGGTTTGGGAGTATTAGTATCTTAAGTTTTGAGTGTTGAGGGTTAATATGCAAATGGCTCAAACACTGGTCATAATGAAAGTGAGATTCATATCATACTAATAAAGAACTGTGAACCTAGAGATGTATATCATTGATAATGCCTTAACTCATCTTTGCCTCACATGTGGAAGGAAAATGATTGCAAGCTCATTGTACCATGTACATTCATTGTACCATGAATGCTTTGTTAGAGGGTAATACAGTTTAAGATGCAGAAGCATTTAATAACTTTTATACAGTGTCAATAATATACTGCACTAACCATTCCCAACTTCTCTTTTTTCTAGGCTATTCAGGAACAAATGAAAATTCATGGACAAGAACCAGTTTCTTTTCAGGATGTCAAGGTTAGCTCTGCCAAATGGAGTACTGTATAAAATCTTTGAATAAGCATTTCATAATTTAATTATGTTACATCATAATTAATAGGTTGCTGTATATTTACTTGGAGAGTAGTAGAAATGAGCTGACTTGTCCTACTCATAGATTTGAAAATGCCTTTCTGTCAACAGTTGCTCTGTAAAATAACGGATATGTTCTAGTAGTTTTCTTAATAGACAAATTACCTGGTTTTTGTTCCTTACACTTGAAGGTACTTGCTAAGTGCATTTTACAGTTCTGGGGATCATTCCTTGGGGGATGGGGGGCAGACTGGTGACTTAAAAGCCTATAAAACTGATTACTATCTACTGTTTATTTAGCAGTTTTAGTACATAAAGAAAGTACAAGAGCTTCTACAAAATTTAACTCCTACAAGTGAACTGAATTTCTTTTTGCCCCTTTGTGGCTAAAGCCTTCCCAGAAAAGCAAATTCTTACTTGAGATGTGGGAGCTGAGGACACTGTCCGAACTGTAGCAAATCAATCAGTGTGCATTGTATCTTAAATGCTTTGGGGCTTAACAGCTGCTTTTTGTAAACTGGTGTGGGTGGCACGAGTTGCCCAAATATCGTTCTGTATATGGTATGAAATAGCTATTATTCTGCTCATTAATGTGTGGGGGCTTTTCTCCTAATTTTGACTTGTCTTTCATAGGATGAAATCTTTGATATGGTGAAGCCCAAGGACCCTTACAAAATCTCCCTTCAAGACTTGATCAATAGCAGTCAAGGAGACACTGTTACCAGCATTCTAATTGATCTGAATGGGTTCTGGACGTACGAGAACAGAGAGGTCCTTGTGGCAAGCGATAATGACAACACTGCTGATGGGGATGATACGTGACTTTGAATGGGAGCAGACTGTATCCATGGAGATCTCAATCTGATGGGCCAGCATCATTCATTATCTGAATCAATTCCTCTTCCATTTTACTTCTCTCCCTTCCTCCTTTGCCCCACATATGATACAAAATGTGGTACACACGAGTCACAGAATTAATTCCTGAAACCAAAAAAGTAACTGTTGTTTAAGAGGCAAAAGTTACATTTTTTTTTTAAATAAATATTTTTGGACTTTTTTTCATGTGTACCAAGCCCTATTCTTATTTAAATACCTTATTCCAAGTGTGAATTTACCCTGAGTAAAAGTAAGAATGTGGTTGTTGGTATCTTCAGCGCTCACCTGTATCTGCTCAGCCATCCCAAGCCTCCCACTACATTCTGCATGGCTTCATCTAATTACAGCACTGTTGACCATTCTGTTGTGAAGGCAAAAGTTCTCAGGAAGAAGGAACCGGATAGTTACCTAATTTTAAGAGGTTCATTAACAGAAATAAAACTGCACTAGCTTTAGATCTAGTTAAAGCTAATGCAAGCACCTGTACAGAGGCTTTCACCAAGTTAACCTCCTGTGCAAGTATTTTATATAGTCTTTCTTAATTGTACAGCTGAGCTACAGCAGTAGTTAAAGCTGTGACACTCTCTTAATCCTTAAGAAAGCCACAGCAATGTTTCAACTTTCAGACAGAATTACAATAGCTCCAGGCCAGAAGTGTTTGCAATCCTGCATTATTTATTAGCTTGAGGTAGTGGTGAACACAGAGTACTACATGACAGTCTAAGGAAGGGGGTAAAATGATATTTTGAATTCTGGTGCCTGAATATTCAACCAGGATCTGTGACTGGGTAAAGATGAAAACAGTAAACAGGCACATGCACCTGTGTACAGGCATAAAGTTTCAAAGACCACACAGTTTTAAAGGAAAATCCATAGCCAACTTCCAGTTCAAAAATTATATTAAATATAAAATAACCAATTAATGCATTTACAGAAAAATTAAACCAATATGAAAGTAACCACTTCCATACAGCCTGAAAAAAAGGAAGGATTAAGTTAAGGCACAGTGAGTAATACAGTATTTTATACAAAGAAGGCAGTGAGAGCATTTGTTATGCAATGAATAGTAGGGGAAGGAGGTAAAAAAAAAAATTGACATTAATTTATTGGAAGAAAAGCAAGATATCCTTCAGCTGTCAAGGTATTATTCAAGCTATCAGAGATTTTTTTTCTTTGATGATATAAGAACTCCTAACAAGCTGGTTTTCTGTGTATTCCCCAGGTGTTGAATCAAACTCTCCCTTACAGATGTTCAGGGCTAAGGAGTGATTTTACCCTGTGGTCAACACTCTCTGTCTTAAAATTTAGAAAAGGCAAAGAATGGAGTACCAAAAGAGATGGACTCTAGAGTGCATGATTGAATCCTCCCCCTTAGATTTTCTGTAGTGTTGTAGAGCTACAGACAGATGAGAGGAAGAGTTTGTGCTGTACAGGATATTAGTTCAGGCAGAGTGTCATCTGAAATACATAGTTAATTGCTGACACCAAGAGCCAAGTTACCTGACCTGTGGTGTTACATCAGGTTCCTTAGTTGGCAGTGGGAGCAAAGCCAGGGACACATCATGATACCCAACAACCCAATTTCACTGAGGACTATTTTCAACTTTTTTTTTTTTTTAGAAATCTCAAGGACAGAAGTAAACTTCTATGTAGTAACTGGTGCAGGTTCTCTGCTCCTATACCTACAACAATTGTCCATAGAAAGTGACTGGGGCAATGACAGCTGATTGTTCAAAAATAAACCATTCACCTTTTACAAGCTATAGGTACTACAGTCCTTGCAGTAAAATGGCCTTACTTGGTATTAGATGTGGAGCTTCCTGCACTTCATGTAGACAAAAATAAAAATTTCTGTTGTTGCCAGTGCAGTATCATATCACATTATTTTAGAGAAGGAAAGAGTCCTAAGTTTGGTTTTGTTGTTCCTAGCTATTTATGTATTCTGTGCTAACAGGATGAAAACCATCTGCAGTAGAACATCCCATACTGGTAATTTAACATTCAACACATGCTTTGTTTAGGTTACTCAGATACACAGACTTGGGTAATCCATGTCCAAAAACGTTCAGTTCTAGACCGTACTACATAGAGTGTCCAATGCACTTCGTATAATTTTGCAAGACTTCAGTTTCTTTCCCAGGACCACTGAGAGCGTGCATTCAGGCACATAGGTCTATTAATTCTTGAGCTTGGAGTGAGAACAGCCTTCACTGATGTTAGTTCTGAACTTTGCTACAGCACTGAACGGAGCAGCTGAGCACTATTAGCCTCCAAGAGTGCTGGTACTTGTTAGTAAGTTCTTACGGGTGCTTATAGCCTTCTGGAAAGTTGGGGTATTTTTACTTGGGAAAAAAAATAAATCAGTGGACCCTTTAATCTAATTAACATTAAATCTAACATTTTTCTCTTATGTTAACAACAGAAAAAAAATACATGCATACAACAGTGACAATAAATAGGGGGCATAAGACTCTATTATAATTACTTTTGAGTTACAGGATATTAATTCCTATTAATCTATTCATAGAGAGCCGAGTTGCAAACAGTGTGCAAATCAGGTTTTTAGAAGTAGTAAACAGCACTGCCTCTGCATTCCACAGGTGTTAGAGACACAGCAATTCAAAGAAAAGACATTTCTACTTGCTTTACACAGAAATTAGCTCACACATTCAATTTCAGACCAAATGTTTGTAGTGCAATTTTCCTTTCAACTGAAATGCCAATTTGGCAGAATGCCTCATCCTTTATTAGACAGACAGACTGAACAGACATCACCTAGCTCTCTCCTGATCAATAAGAATGATAAGAGTTGTATTTCACTGAACAAGCATAATCCTATTTTTCCTGTTTATAGGCAGATTGTGACACCTGACAGTTCTTATTTCCTACATTATACAGAGCTTTACGCTTAAGGAGGGACAGGAACGACATCTTGTTTATTTTCTGCAATGGGTGGGCAATCTCCCTCATTTTCAAAGTTTACATTCACAAATGAAGAGCATGCTGTTGCTCCAGGCTGGTCTGTCTGGACAGGAGCTTCAGCTTGTGGATTGTTCTGCTGTTCCTGATGCTGTCTTTCTGCTTCTTCTGACATCTTGTTTTCCTGTTCCTCCTCTTCCTCCTAGAAAGAGATAACCAGATTCATATGCTACTATTTACAATTTACTACTTAGATTATCTTGAAGTCTTTCCATTAGAGCATATACCAGTTGCTATTACAAAGTAAGGACCTTTGTTCCACTAGAAAACAGTCACTATTGCTGATCATAAGATGAGGTACATTCTGGAACTCCCATTATGGGGAAAAAAAAAAAAATCACCAAAAGTGAAGGATTAAACTGCATTAAACAAACACAGAAAAAAAGACACATATCTAGATAAGCAGCTTTAGTTAATAGCAATAGTGATGGGTCTGCCTCTTCTGCAGCTTTTCCAGCTCTCAATTAAAAAAAATAAAAAATAAAGCTTTAAATATGTTTTCCATCTCTTTTAAATGAAGATTATTAAGGGTTAGGTTTTTTTTTTTGCCTAAAGCACTGGCTACCTATCAGTATTGTCCTGTTATGCTTTAGAACAAATGGTAACTTCATGTTTTTTTACCCTTGACACTGTTGAACAAGTTTTAGAGTTGGAAAATGTATTGCTAGCAGCCACCTCTTTACAGTGTTCAGCAGCTGTCCAACTTTCTGACAGTGTTGACTTGAAAATGCATTGTACAAGAGAAACACAGCAGAGGTCAGGACCCACCTGTTTCTAAGACTGAGGAGCTGGAGAGAAAAGGCTGATGGATAAGAAAATATTAATCATTCATCATATGAAGACTGGAGGCAAACTGAAATTGAGGGTCTGAAGCTTCATTTTAATGCTAGAATACAAATTCTATTTTTTAGAATACCAGGGAAGACAAATTGGGAGAGAAGGAGTGAAAGAACCCTAGCTCACACACATACCTCTCTCTTCATTCTGTAATACTCATCAATGGCATATTGGTATTTTGGTGTGCTTATTCCCAGAACAGATGCAATCTTTTCCCCCAGGAAATCACACACTAAAAAGTAAAGAGAGGTTTACATAGGATTAGTACCTAGAAGAAAATTCTTCAATGCAGTTTCATTACAAAAATTATCACCATCTTTCCTGAATGGTTTTCTGTAGTCCTACTTCACTCACAAAATAAAACGAAAATCTGTGAGGTTAATCTCCTTCTAGGTAATTATTAGCTGAATATACTAATAATTGTTCTTTAGGATAAGGAATGAACAAAAGGAGAAGAATATGAAATTCAGTGAAAATATATATGGAGGTAGTGTTTGAATTCTTCTAGTTTTAGCTTCAGATCTAAGTTTGTTTTGCTAGGAATCAGTTAAAGGGTAAGCCTTGAGCTGAACTTTGACTGAAGATCAAGGTTAGATAAAGGTACATGGGTACCAACTGTAGTGGCAGTTCAATCTAGTAGTCCTAGCAAACTAGACAGTATTTATTGATATAAGCATACTTCAAGTCAGTTTTAACAATGTTCTGTGTTGCATACTAATGGATTAACAAAGTATTTATGTTTCAGCTGTCTCAATTTTCAAGCTGTAGGCTACATTCAGTGCTACTTTGCTAATACAGGTAGAGCACAGTCAAAAGCAACGGGGTAAGCTTGTGTCAGTTTCTTTACCATGGTGATGGCTAGAGATAACACTGGTTGAGTAAAGGCAAGGAATGAGTCAAATATTCTGCACTTCAAATTGTAAATCTGCCCCAAGGATGCAAATGACTGAGTCATCCTCAGGGAAAAAAATTATAAGTCAGTCATTGACTGCTTCAATGAACATTCACAGTAACTAATTTTATAGATATCCTGGCATGCTGAGTGCTGTGCAAAAGATCAGTTCAAATTACAGATGTAAGAGCCAAAACTGAAGTGCAAAGAAGGAAGGACTGATTTTCAAATTCATAAAGGACTTCTAAAAAAAGGAAAGCAATATCTACCCTTGCGTATGAAGAACAGATGCGTCAAGGAATATAATCTCATTGTACATTAGAGAAAAAGTGTTTCTAAAAATAAGGATAGGTTAACTAATATAACAGACTGCCAAAAACGTAGAAGTATTCAAAATTATGTGTACAGTGACAGAAACTCCATAATATTTGTGGAAAAAAACCCAGTAAAGATACTTAACACCTTGGAAAGAACACAGACTATGACAAGCATTTTTAAAATTTTGCTAAATTTTAAGAGGGCCACGAATCAAATAAATGTCTGTGCAGTGAGTTTAAGACCCTTGACAACAATCCTGTTTATTTTGTAACCACAGAAGTTCATTGTATGGCACACAACTAGATGTGTTCTTGGGATGCTTTCTAGTTGTCTCCAGAAAAACTGTTAGTTTAGTTATACCAGCCAGCATTCTTTTCAGGTAACATCACACAAAATGGTTCCATATAAAATCTAATAGAAAACAAATATATTCCCTTGCCAACATCAATCTATATCCATACAAAGAAAAAGGGGAAAAAGTAGTATTTTCTGTTCATTCTTCCATGCAAGAGTTGTTTATTGAAAGTAAAAAAAAATAAAATTTAAAAGTGCCTAAGGCAGGAGAGTATGTCTCCCCAAATTAAATACAGTTCAAATCATCCTTCTGAAAAAACAACAAGTAAAACCCAAAGATGATTTACAGTCTGTCAACATGACTTTGTGACTTTCAATATTCCCTTTCTGGCTTACCCTAGAATTAAATAAAACAATACCTGATAAGGTTGATGTGGCAACTCGCAGCATGTGAAACCACAAGTAGGGTCCCCATGTGAGTGTTGTCTGCAGGAACAAGAGTAGTATGAATATGTACAGCTGTATGGTCAAGGCACAAAATAACACATGCAAAACCCCAAAAGGACCTGCAATGTTTTCTGTTTTCCAGCTACTACAATGTTTTTGCTTTAAAATAAGTGTAGACCAGGTAAGTGAAGCAAAGTATCACCATAAGATATAAATATAACCATGGTTTACCTCTGGGAAAATTTCTTTCACTGCTTTTTGCTTCCTGCTTCCAGACTTGGGAAATGACAAGCAGCCAACTCAATCCCCGACTAGAAAAAGCTTTGCACAACATTCTGAATTCCATCAGGCCAAGAGGAGAAGTGAGGTAACAAAGTAGTCCCTCGTTACAGTAATGAGTCAACTGCAAAAGACTGTTTAAAATCAAACCAAACCTTCAAACCTCTGAAGAAGAGGCTGCTTTCAAGCATTTACAACCAAGTAGGAATTCTCCCTTGAAACAACACCTGAAAAACAAAACCAGGAGCCCCGAGGGAAGGGGGAGTCACCGCAGCTCTGGGGGAGGATGGGGAGGCTGCTGAGCAAAGCACCCAGGGTGATGTGAACCACAGGAACACAACATGAATAAAACAGGGCTCAGCTGCGGCCACCTCAGGCATTTGCATGTAAGGAAGTCTCTCTGAAGAGCCTGCACACCAGGGCACACAGGATGGGGCAGAAACAGGAGGAACTGGAGATCTGTGTGCAGCTGCAGGGGAGGGATCTTGTTAGGATCCTGGGGATGCAGTGAATGGACTGGGGCTGCTGTGGAGGGACGCAGACTCCTTAGGAAGGGCTGGCCAGGTAGACAAAGAAAAGGAATTTCTCTTTGCATGACGAGTGTATTCAAAGCTACAGCAAAAATACTGCAGTCTCCACATAAACTGATATATAGATATATACATTGTAAACTAAAGATTTAGAATTAAATTAATTATAAAATAATGTGTGTTCACAGGCTATGCTTTTCATCAAGGGAAGAGACTGTATCTGTTTAGGAAACCAAATAAAACCATGTAATAAAAAGGGAAAAAGCAGATTCCAAGCTAATGGGAAAAATTGTAGGCTTTCCCTGTTGTGAAAAGGCAAATTCAACTTTCGTAGTGAACTAAACCTATTTATAGTTAACAGGCTGTTGTATTCAGGCAAGTCTTTGATACATATTTTCAAAAAGATCTCTAGTGAAGCAGAAGTACTTTTCTTCTGGAAAGTAGCAACTAAAAGTATCAGCTTTTATTAAATAAAACACATTAGGTCTACTCAGCTACACAAGTATTTATAGCTTGCTAAGAACTGTTTGTCAGTAACCTTTTCCTATGGTCTTATTTAACAGATATCTGTACAGAAACAGCCAAAATTATTGTAAATAATACAATACAGGTACAGAAATTACCTGGTATAGCCTCAGTATGCATGTACACAAGCTACTAGACTTTGGTGCTTTCCAAGCATAGTCTCTACAAATCAGTGCAGCAAGAAATTGTCTGTCAGGCCAGAAACTCAAGTTGGGCAGGCTGACAAAAAGCCAGTTGCTATATATTTTTGGCAGAGGATATGGAAAATGTCCTGCCAAGGTAAAAGTGTAAGCAAAACCAGCTGCTATCCTGCTCACACAAAAGCACCTCCAGCTCATTGATTATGTGCTCAGCTGGCAGACAGGCTAACGAGGAGTTTGCCCAGTTGAAGTCAAAGAAAGTGCTGGAAAAGCTTGTTGCCACAGGTGCAAATAATGGCACTGACAGGGCTCTGTACAATCCTTCATGATGAGGTGACAGGGTTAAAAAGCATTCATGCAGGGCACAGGACAAACAAGGGCCTGCTGTGTGCTGTAAGAAAGAAGCTACAAGAGCTCCTGTAATATTGCAGAGTGAAAAGACAAGCTGAACTTCAACGTGACAGAAGTTACTTAGACCCAGAACATTCTAATAAGTTTGCGGTAGCACAAATGTGGGTAACAGCTGAGGCTCAGCAGACACAGAGGTTCTATTCCTACTCTTCCCCCACCACAGCTAAAAATCAGTTCGGTACATTGGAAGCACTTCTAAGTTCAGCTTCGTGGGAACCTCTGCTTTCTGACAAAGCCCAACCAGACATTTCCTCATCCCTGACAAGCAAGGCTTTGCCAGACTCCTCAATTAAGAAAATAACTTTCTTTATAGTGTCTCAAAAGGCAATATAAAAATCATGAGAGAGGGTACTTCACAGGAAATCAACAGGAGAAAGGAGATGCTTTGCAGAGTAAAACACCAGGAACAACCAGGAGCAAGGAAACGCATCCAAGGAATCACCTTCTTTTTCCATGCATTCCCCTTTTACCTCTCCAGGGTAAATTTGGGTGCCTTCCCAGAGCACTTCAGAGATGGAAGCAGAAATGGCAGATGTGAGGCAAAAACTGGTGCTGGGGGAACTGGAGCTGTTCGAGTGACATGACATTGATCAAATTAATCCTTGTCTGTGAAGTAGCTTTAATACACTGAGCTGGAAACTGGAAAACCGTACCCAAGTCATGTCCCACAGACCTGCAGAACTACACACCCAGATACTGTATATCAGCTTCCTTTGGCCAGCCACAGAAGCCTTAATCTTCAGTCTTTAATCAACCCAAGGACACAGCAATATTGTATTTCTTGAAAGGAAACACAGGACAGTATGAAAGGCATACAGTGTTTATTGTATTTCTCTAGCAATCAATGCCTTTAGTAGACATTTCTACAATGTTTAACATTTTTCAGCTATCCTGACTTTATTTTGTTGTTAAAATGGAAAAGACAATGATTTTGACAACTGATTTTTAAATTACAAAATATCTTAATGTGTAATTTTAATTTAAATAGGAATTAAAATAATGGATTCCATCATTGATAAAACCAAGGGGCCTCTGGTTCAGTAACAGAACATGATTTTGTTCCCTAGTATGGGGCTGCCGAAGGGAGCACACATGTTCCCTTGAATTTCTGAGTGCACCATGTTCCTAAACAATCCACATATGTATTTATTTTTGGCAGATTTCAGTCCTAATAACACTTAAACTTTCCAAGGCATGTAGGGTTTATTTTTGTCAGAGAAAATGGCAAAATGAGAAAAATAATAATTTCCTGATTAAGGAAAAAAAAAAATATCCTGTATTTAATAGTTAATATACACCACCAAATAATACCTTTTCATTGTTTACTCTGTCAAGATAAATTTCAAATTAGTTTAATCAATGACTGTTCAATGCTACAACAGGTTATTTTGTGTAAGACCATGTAAAACTGGCATCTAAGATAAGTCAGTGAAAACAAGATCCGGAACACACACACCATCCTCCATCAAGAGCTTCTACCATGTTATGAGTAGTTATTACTTAGTCAGTAACCATTTTTCTCCTTCATCCTCAAGTTCCTAAAAGAAAATCAGAATGTGATGGTCCTCAGAGAGGAATTTTTGCTATTTGAAGTTAAGGCCCTTTTAACTACAGGATACCAAGATAACCTTCCTGCAAGGATGTGTTTCAATCTTTCTGAGCATTGATGGTTAAGAAAATTACATCTCTCCTGGAGCTTTGTTGCAGATGTCTTCTTGGTCATATATTGCTCACAGTTCCTCTGTGAAGGCTTACACTCCACCTTCTGTCTACTCATCTAATATGTGAATGCAGCTAAGAGTTTACACCAAGTGTCCCTCCAGGGAGAAACAGAAGGGTTATCTTCTTAATTATTACAAAATAGAGTTTTGGTGGGCAAAAACAAAAGAAAATACACATATAGAGTGCAAACATCTACATTTTAGGACAAAATAATCAAAAATACGTTTATGCTGCTAAAGCATTTGAATTTCAGTGTGAGAACATTCAGATAATACTGAATGCCATTATCTAAAAAATAATATCCCATGTTATGGATTAAAAAATACAAAACACAGCAGAATGGACACCCCAGTCCAACAATGTTAATGAACTGAGTGCTGACCAGTAGAAGCACCAGAAGTTGTTTCAAAGAAAATTTAAAACCCAGTTGTTTTTGAGAATTTGTTTTGTTATGAGTAATAGGAATCCACCAAACCAAGTGTTCTGGTTATGGTATTACCAGGATATATACATAATACTTGGTTTAGTAAGACACATTAGCATTGCCTGCTTAGTTCTAAAACACAATTAAACCAAGGTACTTGCTGAAGACATTTCTTTACAACATAGCAAAATATTTGTTTCCCTCAAACTGATTCAAAAACTGCCAGGATGCTAAAACCAGCAGAGCTTTGAAATTTCGTGATGGAAAGTTTCCATTCAAAATATTAAATGTGCTTTTTCCAAAAATAAACTGGTCCAGAAACAGCTATTACTTGCAACATACTTTTTTGTATCCCAACTGAGATAACAAGTTTTAGACATGCTGGTCTCAGCAAACAGACTATTTAATTGCTTTTATAGAAATCCTACAAAATAACATTTTAAAAGCAGCTGTTGGCTAAAACATCAAAGCTCAGCTTGGACTAACATTTCTTCAATTGTCTGGCTCAGCTGGGATACACAAAGCATGCAGGAGATAAAGTAAACCTCACTTAATGGCAACTCCTGCTCTAATCAAGTTCATTCTGTCCAAGGTAAAAAGCAATGCATAATAAGGCGTAGTGTGCTCCACAATAAACTACTCTGATTTGGGGGGTCCTTTTATTAAAAAGTGTATTCGAAATTAAGGATTTAATAAACTATAAAAGGAGAACAACGCAATCTTAACTCCACCATACAATATACTTTTTGGTATTCAGAAAAGAAATCTGTATTAGCAATGGAGGGAGCAATCACGCAGCATTCCTGGCTGCTGTGCCCACTTGAGGGCTCTTTAGTTAAGTGTCCATTTGCACAGCAGCACGCATGTCTCTGCCCTCACAACACCTACACCAAGGCTTGTGAGCCTTCCATCACTGCATTACCATGGAGCTCTTCTACTGTCAGGAAATGGCACAAAAAACGATACACATCTTGTTCCCTGATCATTATAATTGGGAACACAAATGTCTCAGACATCCACGGGTGTCTGACATAACTGCCTAATGGGGAACAGACCTCACTCTGAAGATACCTGAACATTACCATAATAGCCAGTAAGTTTCACAGCTCCTGCATTTATTTGAGAAGATCCTCAAGGAGGAAAAAAACCACCCTAGTACCCAGCAAGACCGCTTAACATCTTACTCATTGTTTGTGACTATAATACAGTTCTTTTCCAACTATATACTTTGTGTGTATTTAACAGTGATAATATCCTACCTGCTATCAGGGTAATGTTGTTTTTTGTTGTATACAATAACTGCCTACCAAGAAAGAGAGCAATGCCATCAATCCATAGAAAACACAATGCAACAGCTTCACTTGTGGAACCCCCAGTCCCACCTGAATTCCCACAGTCTCACTGGAGACCTTTTTCTTCTTCAAGACAAATTAATTTTACAGAGGGAAAGAAAGGTATTGCTTGACAGTCAAAGCAAACCTCTTGGGGTCCACCACTTCTTCAGAAGAGCACAAGCAGAAAGTCAAAATCTTCATCCCCTTCAAGGAAGCCAAGCTCTCCCAGGATGGATACACATTAATAAATACAGGGCCTACTACTGTAAATAGCTTCATTCACAACATTTCTTAATTATGGACTCCCAAACAACACTGCAGCAGTCATTTCATTTTTAGCAGTTACAATGCACACCATTGGCTTTAATTGTTGAGACTTCACTTGAAATCTGGACCAATAAAAGGAAACCCTATTCACAGGCTGAGCAACATCTCAACAATTTACAACACAGATGAACATTACTTACATGGACTACGCAGGTCCTTGAAAATCTGGTTTTCATATACTACACCAGTCTTCCTTTATTTCTGCAACTCACCTGTTTCTTTCCCTTCTATACTCTTTTAATTATATCAAATTGTTGTTATGGTAGCCCTAAGTTGCAGGTTGAAATCTCCACTGTCAACAAACATAAGGAAAAAAATGTCTCCCTTGCAATTTTTTTTTTAAACAACAGTACAAATCAAGGAGATACAAAGCAATTATTATTAGAAATTAAAATGCTGGAGGGGACAAACTACAACTGTGAAGAAATTAAACCCATTCCTAATTAATAAGTCTACTTTAGTGGAAGAGAACTCCAGGACAAAACTTCCCAGTAATACTTTCTGCAGATTTACAAGTCAGTTAAGCCAATCAAATTACTAGAATTTATAATACTAAAGACTGTATCAGATTTGTGACACAAAAAATTAAGTATAAAATGTTTATAGCTGTCCAGTAAACCAGAAGTAGCAATTTATCAAGTAAAATACCTACAGGATCTACAGGTGGCAACAGATCTTTTTTCTCTTGTTCATCTTCCTCTTCATCTGTGCTATATTCTTCCATTGTTTCTCCACTTGCAAAATGAATAACCCTCCTTGGGATTTTCTTTTTCTTTCCTATGACACCCAGCTCCACATTCTCAAAGCCACTCTCTCCCTTTGAAAGTTGCTATAAAGAAAAAAAGAAATCATTATTTCAAGTACATGCTTCTGGAACTGAAAAGTTCCCCCTTAACAAACTTCATGAGATATTTAAAATATTTTGGATTAGCATTTAGAGTGGACATTTATAAGAGCTTGCCTGTAGGTAAAAGACAAACATTCTTGTTTGCAGATATGTAAAAACTGATCCCTTCTCTAAAAGTAACAGAAAGGTTTCTTCTGGGTGAAGTACATTTCATTAAATAATTTGATAAGCACATAAATTTTAGTATTTAAAAGTATTGTTGGGTTTGGAATTAATATCTAATGAAATTAATCAAGTAGTTCATAGGCTGTAGCCACCTCTTTGGAAGTTCAGCCAGACACCTCTAACACAAAAGAGAACTGAATAACTAAGCAGCCAGGCTCAAGCTTTAAAAAGATGCACCAAGGAATTTGCCCCTGTGGGCTTTCATCAGCAACCACGATTAGTACAAGGGACCAGGGTAAAAGAACAGCACTTAGTTTTGTGGCTAAGAACATACAAAGTGAGAAGTACAATGTCTGTCTGTGCTCTCTAGCTGCTGAATGCTACAATGCAGTCTTTGGGTCACAAGCATTAAGAATATATACTTCCAGTTCAAAGGCCAGTCAATAATTTTTTGGGCTAGTCAGTCCTGCAGGCAGAGAATTTTAGTAAGGTTTTGTACTGCAGCTATCAAAATAGAGCCTTCATCTTGGTAAAAGCTTCAGATGCTACTGCATCAAATGCACAAAACTGCTGAAAACACTTCTGTCATGAAGAGAAGGCCACAGAGGTTAGGAAATGCCAACCACATGTTTTTAATGTACCATGACGGTTTTTAAAAATGCATGAGCTGGTGTAATTTGAAACTGTATCATAAGGAATGACATGCGTAGTGTCTGCAGAATCCAGGTTGCATAAAATGCATTCCAATTTCTAACTTCTTTCCTATACAAACCTAATGATCTCCACCGAGCACAATTCTGGATCATAAACAAAAATACATACTTTATCACAGAGTTTTAAGACACCCCTTAATTGCTGTGCAGCATCACCATCCCCACCTCTCATGCTAGATTACACAGCACAGCTTTGCAAGGCAAGCAGGCTTGGCTAGCCAGGAAAGACAGTGGGCATGGGAGAGAGAGGCAGCAGAGGGTCCTGGGGAGCAGAACTGCTTCCTTCATTCCAGCCACGGATTCCTCTCATGCCCACAGAGAAGCAGGAGGGAAGGAGGATCACGTGCTGAGTTCCACAG